GCGTCCTCCTTTCCCGCTGGAATCTGGCTCTGTGTCATAGCGAAACGTCCTTCATATGTATGGCACATAGCTTGCTGTCTGCGAAATGAAGCGGATGGGACAAATTCACCCCGAAATACCATTGACGTGACAGAAGGGCAGGACTTGGAACAGGCTTCGCTTAGCTTCTGCAATTATTTATTGGATGATGTCATTGATCTCTCTGAAATGAGTCTAAATCTATTTCCAGTGCAGCTGTAGCTCATACAATGCCCTATAGTACCTTTCCTCATGTCATGTTATGGTAGAGTGAATACGTTTTACTGAGCAGGTTATGAGATCCATAATCGTAGGAGTCCATATACTTTGTAGAGTGCATACTCCTGGATTGCGCTCCACACTCCTGTCCTGTCCTATTCTATCCACTGTGTTCCAACAGGCTTACAGTGTGCCAACTGTAGTAGTAGTACAGTCACCCCCTCGCCAGCCCCATTCTTCAATAGGAAGATGTTGGCACTGCCCTGTCATCTCTCCGATAAAATTTTCAGATGAACACTGTTACTCACATAAACAACACACTAACACCAACACTCTTACCCACATAGCAAGGGAAAGCCAATCTACTGAGAGGAGTGGATGTTGTGTACTGTAAGCCGAGAAGAGACGAGGGGAAATCGCGTTAGTGAAGTGTGAAACCTCCCGAAAGTCCATAAATTAAAGAGCGGCTAGAGTTCCCTATTATGTCTTAATGTTTAGGGCTGGTTGTATTTTGAAGCACGCTGGCCCGGGTCCAGCGGTAAAGCCTGTCGCCTTCTCTTCCCCTCTGGGATGAGTGGCTGGGTTGACATCAGAGCCGGGCCAACCCAGAGAGGGGCGGCACAGCTCTTTGGTTCGAGAAAGGAACATGCCACTCCGGCTCAACACACTAAATCTCTGATAATACTGTACAATCAACAACTTCTTAGGTTCGGAGTGGGTTTCCCTGAATCTCAAGAACTTGGTTTTACACCCCATCTTAGAAGGGAAAACCAATCCTCCTGAACTGCCAGGATTCTCAGCACGGCTATAGGAGTGGGTTTGGGGTGCTGTCTGGGGATGTTGATGGGGGTTAAGTTGCTGCTTTCCTCCCCTCTTCCACCCCCCATGGTGGTAGTGTTTTAACTTGTAGCTCTGAATGACTTTTGAAGTCCCTTGTGTTATCTCTGGGTATCAGCTGTGCAGGGCATGGTCAAGGGATACCAACACAAAAACATACACACACACACACACACACACACACACACACACAGTTTCAGAGAGCTTTCAAGTCAATACATGGACAACTGGAGTCATTCAGTCTATGGCCTGTTGCAGGATGAGTGTTAATACTGTCATGTCCTCTCGCCACTTTAGGTGTCCTTCCTCTCACTCATACTATTTCCCAGCTCAACCCTTGCTGTGTGTGTGTGTGTGTGTGTGTGTGTGTGTGTGTGTGTGTACATGAGTTATAGCTTTCTTTCCCAGAATGGGTTTTGTATAAGCTTCATATTGATCCTGTGTCGGACACCAGATTGAGAGCTGCTTTTTCTGTCTCTCCCGCTCATTATTTGGTGTTCTATGGGCCTTATGGTAACGGAATGCTAGGAATCAAAAGAACATCCACCTTATATCTTCATCAGAGCTACTGTACTAGAACAGTGTTTCTCTTTCTGGTGCCTGTTTGCCCTAAAGACTCCCCTGCTCTCCCAACCATACTTGCTGCCTCTCCAGGGTTGGGGTCAATTCCATCTAAGTTCACTTACAATTTCAGTTAACTTCCTGAATTGACTAAATGGAAATGGAATTAACCCCCACCCTGCTTTTCTCTCTTCAGAATCCTCAGAATGTGGAAATAGGTATGTGAACCAACCTCCCCTTGTTGGCTCTGTCCCCTGGGTCCCTAGATGTGGTGTGTGTCTCTGTGTGCCCACCTGTGGCCCTGGACATGAGTGTAGGGTTGCGGTGGGGGCAGGTGCCAACGGGCATTCTCACCCTGACAAGAGTGGCTGCTGGGAGACGGCGAGGGAGAGCAGGAGCAAGAGACAGCCACATCAGGCAACCGACCTGGTAAGGAAGGAGACACACACCTTCTGAAGAGTTTGGATTCGACTGGATAAGATGGGATGGAATGGGGAGATATCTATGGCCTTTGGCAGAGTATTCTCTTCTTCATCATCCCTCTACAACCAATCTCTGAAATGCAGTAAAGCATCAAATGAACTTAATTCAATCTGATTCCATTCATTACACTCTTCCACCTTTCATTCTAACACATTCGTTCTCGTATTCCATTCACTCTCATCTCTTCTGCTCAGGATGAAGAGGAGTTCCTGTTTGTGAAGGGTGAACTGAACCTGTGAACCGAGCCTGTCCAGTGGATGCGGCTGCTACACAGACACCTGGGTGTCCTCTTCAAAGCCCCAAGGCTGAAGACTCTGAACCAGAACCAGGCAGAGCTCCTCAGACTGTCAGCCCAGGCAGATGCCATGTCCCTGGCCACCCAGCAGGCTCTGGAGGGCCTCCCAGGCCTGGCCCAGTTCTCCTGCATCATAAAGCACACCCAGCTGGCCCTGCAGCAGGAGAGGTCCACACTGGCTACGGATTTTAGATTCCAAGAAACCAGTACGCATTTTAATGACTAAAATGTTTTGTTTTATCAGCGATGGATGTATTCGTTTTAGAAGGGAATGTACTGCTGAAAGTGTATATGTTTTGAGTTTTGTCTGTGTTTTTCAAATTAAAGATGCCTAATTCATGTCTCACGATTCTTGAAACAACCACAAGGCGGTATGTGTATGTATGCATGTGTTCTCACAGCACCTTGAACAACAGGACTGAGCACTGAGGCTTGAACCTATGTGTTGGGGAATAATATTAATTTGGTCCATGTGAAAAATAACAGTTCTCATATGAACTTATATGGTGTCACATGGATAATGTATACAGTGCACACTACTCATCACATAAACATTGCCTCCAAGGCTGTTGTGTACTCCTGATATTTAGATACAATCCACACAACTCCTGGAGCCATAAGGGCTTCAAAGCACCAAGTGTGGTTATACAGGGTAAGATCAAGTAAATCCATTGCATTTTAATCCATGCATTATGGATTGCTAAAGCAGATGTACTCAAAACTATCCTCTCTGAATTCTAGTTTTTTCATTTACAGCTGAGGGGTTATTTTTTTATATAATATGTATTAACACGTTTTCCAGTGGACTCTTCTCATCCCTTTGCATAGGTTTTTATGGCCCCTTGGTTTCCTAGGTTACGTAATTAGGAGGGCAACACAATGGTCCACTGTCCTGTGTGTGCGACTTGCCCAGACAGCTGGGCAGTCTTGCGCTGTAGTATGGCAATGTTCCCTGTTACTGTAAAAATGATGTAATGTTTTGGAACGCTTGAACAACCCCCAATAAAAACAGCACTGTGTGATGAGTGTGTTTTTTTGCGGATGAGGACATGTTCAAGGGATTTCTCAAAGTATGAGGCTTGCCCATCTGTCCTTGACATTAGACTATATTTTATCATAAACGCTCAAACTCAATTAGGCAGAGTACAGTCCCAGCTCTAATTTAAGGGTGTGTAGTAGTAGATTCCAACCCGTTATGTCATTTGTTTCAGCTGTTGCTATTTGGCTTTTTTATATCCAGCTCTCAGCAGCTAAACCACTCACTCAGTGTGACTATTAAATTATGCATAATCATATTACTTTTTTTATACACTTTCAGATTTGGTAAATTTGGAAAGACTTGATGTTAACTGGTGTCACAAAACCCTACAATTTATGGTGATATGTTTTCTACAGAATTGTAAAATACTTCTAACAAAAAAAATATCCCTTGTGGGACCCTAATATAGCCCTGCTCCTCACTGCTAATTATGCCATCTTTGTATGTGGCTGTGAACTTGGTTTAGCTCCAATTTAGAGTATTTATTTTCTTACATTTTCATAGCTTTCAGATAGTGTGAGCTTTTGTTACATCACACTGACAAATAGCCTATTTTAAACATATACAAATACGTTTTTAAGTATTTAAAATATATTTTTGCACCTCAGCAGGTGGCGCTCAAGTCTAAAGTCATTTTGGCCTTTGCTCTCAGGGGGGCAGTGTTGCACTGCTTTTTATAGATTCACATTCCTTTAGTCAACTCAGTGCAGTATTCTGAGATCGTGTGCAGCTGAGCCACAGTAGAATAGATGGCTGAACGCTCTTTGCATGACGAGTGGCTGGTTGGAAATTCATTCAGTGCTGATCTGAACTCATTATTTAACTTTTGTATTCTATCCATGTGACCTTGTGTAATTTCAATTAGCCATCCTATATGTAAATGCACTGTGCTGTACATACATTTGATTACTGGGAGGCCAATCAACTCTATTCTTATGTATTATGATTTTTAAAAAGTGACATTGACCAGATTGGAGAATTACTGTCTCTACCCTCCTGTAGGTTTTCGCTCTAACCCCAGTTGTAACTAACTGCATTCAGTTGACCAACCAGCTAATTATTAGAATCTGGTGCTATAAATTAGGGTTTCAGTGAAAACCTACAGGACTGTAGCTCTCCAGGAACAGGGTTGGCGAGCCCTGGACTAGGGCATAATTTCGTGTTTTCGTGGTGTGTGGATTATGCAACCACTCGAACAAACCTAAACCAAAAAAATATTGCACTCTGGTTTTTAATACCTTTTTCCCGACTCTTGCGTTCCCACGCACGCTCATGCGAGAGAGAGAGTGGAAAAGCAGTGGTTTTTACAGTTCGTGTATTTGCCTTAACGTGTCAAAGATAAATAACTATACAAGTACGCTATTGCTTGATTCAACAACCTTACCCCTCATTGAAAAGGGACCAACTCACAAATTGTGTGATAGAATTTTGGAGAATAACTACATTTCGAGGTGGAGTATAATATTTAGAGGCCAACCAGTGACTGGAAGACGATCGAATACGGGGGCGTGCCCTACAAAACATTGTTAGAACTTCAGAAAGCTCCACCCTCGAGGCACCGCGAAGCATTTATATCCATGTGCAGAGGATAAATAGTTAGTGAAGCACTCTAGCTCAGCGCTTCTCGAGGGAAGAACCTACAATACAAGGAACTTACTTTCCACAAATTGTTATTTCATCTCTAACGCTGGAATTGCACATTCGTTTTTCAGAACTTTCAAGGTTTCTAAAACCAGTCGTGGCACAATCTACAACAGTTGCCTCGTGCATTGAAGGATCCTAGTTGGTCCTCCATGAGAGATCTACTGCGACAGAAAACTGCCGAAAAAGAAATGTCTGCAACCATGTTGTCCGCTTTGTACGATATCGACATGCTTTACAAGGTAAAGTATATTTCCCCATTGTAGATGGAAAGTCTCTGTTATTTACCAGGCTGATAGGTTAAGCATGCATTTTACTTTCAGTAGGCTACAATTAGCTACAGAGAGCACGCCGCTTGTTAGCAGGCAATAACTTGTTGCTAGCGTGAGCCCTCCGTTTTTCATTGTTACTAGTTTACGTTTTCACTCATCAGAATTGAATATGCATTTGGCCAAAACCGTATTAGTTTAAATGCATTGATTATGGTTCTCTTCTCTCCCAACAGCAAGATAAAACTATGAACATGAACGCTATGAATCACATCAATAGCATGCTGGATAATAAAGCTGTGGGGGCTCCAGTGACAACTACACAGAGTTCCAACAGTTTTTCTTTCACGCCGGGATTTTTTCGTAGAAACTCGACCAGCAACATGGAAGCAGTGATCAACAGCAACAAGTACTCCTACAGTAATTTGAAGGAGAACACGAGCAGCAGCACTGCCATTATGAACAAGGAGAATAAGTTCCGCGACAGGGCATACAGCGAGAATGGTGACCGCAGCCAGCAGCTGCAGGTCCTGCAGCAGAAGCCAGGCTCTCAGATCAACTCCACCCGCTACAAGACCGAACTCTGCAGGCCTTTCGAGGAGAACGGAGCATGCAAATATGGAGAGAAGTGCCAGTTCGCGCATGGCTACCACGAGCTGAGAAATTTGTCTCGTCACCCCAAGTACAAAACCGAGCCCTGTCGCACTTTCCACACTATTGGCTTCTGCCCCTACGGTCCCCGCTGTCATTTTATCCACAACGCTGATGAGCGCAGACCCGCTCCAATTAACGCCAACATGCAGGGGGAACCCAAGTCGGCTCGGGAGCTCTGCGGCTATGGTCAAAGGGATGTTGTTCCGCAGCAAGGCGAGTACAACCGGGACAGACCAAAGCTTCACCACAGCCAGAGTTTTTCTGGCTTTTCCAGCCACCACGAACTTGAGTCGCCACTGCTCGAGAGCCCCACGTCGCGCACCCCACCACCCTCTTGCTCTCCCAACTATTATGAGGACGTACTGTCTCCCAACTCCATGTCTTGTGTGAACAGTGCATTCAATTTTCCTGGGCAGGACCTGAAAGCCTTACTTGCTCCCCTGGCCGTGCATACTCAGAACGGCTATGCCAACAACCAGTTCAATGCCTACTACGGAAACATTCAAGCTAACGTGTGCCCCCCTTCTCCCCCCTCATACAACATGAGCCACTTGCAGTCCCTGCGCCGCCTCAACGAGTCGCCGGTGTTCGACTCACCTCCTAGCCCACCCGATTCCCTCTCAGACCGTGAGAGCTATGCGAGCGGGTCCCTCAGCTCTTCTGGGAGTCTCAGCGGCTCAGAGTCACCAAGTTTGGATGCTGGGAAACGTCTGCCAATCTTCAGCAGGCTGTCGATTTCAGATGACTAAACATCCTATGTTATTTTCAATGGATGAAAATTATCCTTGACATGGCATTAGTTGTTTTTCCTTTTTGTAATGGTATAGCTGTATAAAAGTAGATATCAACAGAAGGCATTCCATCAGCGACTTATTTGAGCTGCAATTAATGGCTATATTTTGGTCTATCAGGCAAGCCACACTTCCCTGGGATAGATGTGTACAAGACTTGACACTGAAGAGACTGTAAAGTGGTTTCAGATTTCCTCCATCCTGCCAAGAATATGCCTTGACACAATGTAACATTTATTTTCAAAGTATGTGTTCCTTTCTGAACGTTTAAACTTCCATTCCAGGACTTTAATCTGTTTCACAGCACCACAACAGTGGTTTGTTAGTATAGTTGGTTGCTTAGTTGAAAAGCACTCTCGTTCGGTTTGTTTGGGGAAATCACTGCTGATGGTTGAATCATATTTTTATTATTTTTTTTTTTTAGCTGTTTTGAGTGTTTTACATAGCAGTGTGTAACTGGCTATAAACTATTTAACTTATTTATTATCTTGTGAAAAGTATAGGCTATACATCATTGGTAATTTGTGTCCATACTGTATTTATCAAGTATGATGAAGCAATAGATCTATATTCTTTTATGTTTAAATTATGATCGCCATTATTAATCTGCATAAAGTGGAGTGTTCTTTTCACAGTAATATATATATTTTGTTTTTGGTTTCCTTTTGTAACTTGGTTATTTTTATTGTAAATGAGTTTTAAAAAAAAAATCTTAATTTAAGAGAACGTATGTGATATTTATTTCATTAATTTTGTTTACGTTTATTAAAACAAAACTTTGCGTGATTGCTGTTTGTTCTGAGTTTGCTTGTAAGAGCTGTGGAAGCCGTTTTGAGTCCCTATCTAGATGTTTCTGTAGAATGTATAAATGATGTGGTTGTGCAGACCGTCCAAACCTGAGCTAGCCTTATGTTTTTTTTATTATATAGATCAGACTTCAGTGACAAAGAACCCAAGTAAATAAATTAACCAAAAAAAGTGTTTTTCTTTTCTTCTGTTTGCACGAGGTCACACTGTGATTCCAGCCACGTGCTAAAGAATGTAGCAATCCCTTGTGCCCCAGTATTATTGTGTAGTGCCTACGGAGTTCACCATCTTACATGCCTTAACATTAACCAAATAAAGTATTTTTCCTACATGTATCTTTTACACAAGTTGAATTGAATGTAGTGTTGGAGCTGAATTACTTTTGCAGGTTCTTACCACTTTTATAAGACACCCTGGGACAACTATACCTTTTTGAAATTCCCCATTTCTCTACACTTATTTAGATTGTTTGACTAGTTCAATCTCAATGGAGAAAAAAAAGCAGTTTTCAGAATATGCTGGACGGGGAAGGGATTGAACGTTTTGTACATAGTATGTACTTTTTGACTACTTTCAGAAGTAAAGCTTTTTGAATGTAACTAAAAACGGACAAAAATACGAGTTGTCATATTTTTTTGTGGGGGGGGTCGGTTCACTACAAATTGAGTGTAAGACTTAACTTTGTACTGTACATTTTTTGTAGTTCTCCCAATAAAATCATTTTGAAAATAGTCTTGTGCTGCTTGGTTTTATCCTTTACAGAAAGAATGATGCAAGTGTGTTGGTATTTCTAGTAAGACCTTTCCCTAGTAGTGTGTCCTAAGGGTGTCATCCATACAAATTATAATAAACCTGTGTTTTCAACAGTGCCACTTCATACTAAGGGAAAGATACTGCCTCCTAAAAACGCCATGGTCGGCTCTGCCATGTTCTTAAAGCTAAAATCCTTAATTGAAACAAAGCTGTCACCCTGCCTCTGATTTGGTAAAAAGCTGAGGGATTGGCCTGGAGAAATGTAACCACTCAAATTCATAGACAACTATGGATGAAAGGACTGGCCATCTATGATATCAAAATTATAGTTTTGCAGCTATAGTGTTTACATTTACATTGTTTACAAGCATTGGAGTAAAACGAGCTTCTATTTTGGGTTCTGATGGGGTACGAGTTTAAACTCATGAGGCATAAGTTATTCTTCATGAATCAATGGGTATACATCAATAATTCATACGTCCAAAAATTGATGTATCAACTAAGGATCCAAGCTTTAACACATGCACTATATAAGTGATAAAAAGCATCACCTCTTTCCCATTAACTCTCCCCCATCATTTGAAGGAAGGCTGGAGGCATTAGTGTGAATGCACCCCCATCTCTGGCATACCTGTACAGAGTGGCTGGTCTCCGAGGCCTGCTCTGTGACTGTATGGCTGCGCTTACAAAGGCAGCCCAATTCTAATCTTTTGCCAAATTCTTGGCAAAAGAGCTGATCTGATTGGTCAAAAGACCAATTAGCGGGGGGAAAACATAAGATTTGAGCTGCCTGTGTGAACGCAGCCTACTTGTCTTGGCTAGGGGCCAATGGGGCTTTGTGTTGACTGTAGAGTAGACCCTCCACACTTTCAGACTCCACAGTACAGCCCCAACCCCACACTAGTGGGAGGTAAGGTTGAGGAACTTACTACTTTTACGTGAATTGGTTTTATTACCCTTACAGATCTAGGAACAAATCTGAATTGTGAGTAGGTAGGGTTGTTGTGTGTGTTAGGAGATAAACAGTCTCCATGCATACTACACTTATAGGATGCCAAGAAGTTGAAGTCACATATTATATCAAATTCCTACATCCCCACATGGTATGTTTTATCTGTATGGATGAGAGTAGCCATACCCTCTGTTGTAAGTCGCTCTGGATAAGAGCGTCTGCTAAATGACTAAAATGTAAATGTAAATGTAAATGTGATTGGTCTTGAAATGAATCTGCAGAGGCCTCAGTCACCTACTCGGTAATGATTTACTTTGACTACATATTCATAATGCATTCATTACACATCTATAAGCATTTCATGAACGTGTTATAACAGGTCCCAACCACATTATTAAAGGTTAATGAAATATATCCATAGCATATCTGTAGCGCATTCATGTCATGCTATGCAAGAGCTCATATTTAGGTATTTTATTAGATGCATCACTACAATGACAGGATAGTGTCATCATTATGGCTGTTCTCTAAAGTGTGCTTCTGCCATACCAGTGTTAGTGAATATGCCAAGAGGCCAAACCACGTTTAGAAAATTATGCTGATATATAGCCTGACCAGCCCCATTTCCCCCACTGGCCGGTATAGGTATTAATGATTAATTAATACCTATTACGATACCTAAATATGAGCTATTGCATAGCATGACAATAATGCGCTATATATTTGATATGGATATATTTTATTAACCAACCTTTAATAATGTGGTTGGGACCTGTTTTAACACGTTCATGAAATGCTTATAGATGTGTAATGAATGTGTTATAGATTTGTAGTCAAAGGAAATTGTTACCGTGAGTGTTGTTAACCCATTTAAAAGGTATTGCAGCAATATTTGTTTTTCCAGGAGCCTCTCAAGGAACTCTCCACTCTTTTCCATGTTCTATTCCATGTTCTATTCCAGGCTCTGTCGTAGCCGGCCGCAACCGGGAGACCCATGGGGCGGCACACAATTGGCCCAGCGTCGTCCAGGGTAGGGGAGGGAATGGCCGGCAGGGATGTAGCTCAGTTGGTAGAGCATGGCGTTTGCAACGCCAGGGTTGTGGTTCGATTCCCTAGGGGGGCCAGTATGAAAAATTAAAAAATAATGTATGCACTCACTTAACTGTAAGTCGCTCTGGATAAGAGCGTCTGCTAAATGACTAAAATGTAAAAATGTAAAATGTAAGTTATCAGAAACCACAAAGTCATAAAAAAAAGAAAGCCCTAGAAGTAGTGTGGAAGGTTCACGCCAAGATAAGGGTGATAAGGATGAGCAAATATTTACAGTGTCCTCAGGATTTCATAATGAAGTATTTATCAAGATGTGTTAATCAAGAGGAGAACCAAAGGGCCGACAATGCAGGACACCTGTGCCAAGTAGGATTCACATACCTGTGTGTACCTGTATTGTGTTTGTATGTATGTGTGTGTGCGTGTGTGTGTGCGCATGCATATGCTTGTGTGTGTGTATGTGTGGCTTGCTGGTTAATGGGTCTGGAGCTCCTACAATGACAGGAAATACTCTGACTTCTGATTATGGCAGGAAGAGCCCAGTTCCTCATCCCCACCCATTTCCACCTTTTCTCTCCCCTGCAGTTTTTGTCCTATTATTTTCCTTCTCCTGACCGGTCCAGTGGGATGGCTGCTTCTAGAAGTTACTATTTGTGCAACAGTGCATTGCTTGAGGGCAGCTTGGCTTGCCCTGACATTGTTTTTGTCATGCTCAGTAAGGCGTGAGCAACATCATGACTATTACCATGCAACTCTTAATAAGAAAACAGCGCAGGACTACCTGAACTTGTCCAATAAGAAATCCTTGTTTTTGTTTCCGTTGCAAAATGTTTTGCTATGTGTGCCGTAATGAATTCGACCCCAGGTGTGGGATGTCGAAAAATAATGGTGCTGGTTGACTTAGTGTACAACTTGAGGGAAAGGGTCACATTTCTCCTGGCGCGCTGGGCCCTCCACGTTCCTCTCCCCTTGCTGTCTGCCAGACAATAAATATTTACAGAGCATCTGCGAAAGATTAGTGTTTACTGGGGATGGGCGACGCTCAGCTAGAGTGCTGACGACATCCATAGACGCCAAGAGTAAACCAGGCAGCATGTGTCAATTTAGATACTTCCCTAAGCCCCTCCACAGTTTACTAACACATGGCCCTGGTCAAAAGTAGTGCACTAAATAGGGAATAAGGGGTCATTTGGGACAAAGCCCCAGAGTAAAAAAACATGACTCAACAGTTATGGATGGGGGACAGGCACGTGGCTGGGCTATGGTCTCTGGGCCTGGGGTAAGCATTGGTGTTGACCCCCTCGCGAGGCGAACACAATGGGACTTGTGTGTTTGTTTACCTCGGTCTGCCGTATATACAAGCTGATGGCCTTAACAGTCCGATGGCCTTGAGATAGAAGCTGTTTTTCAGTCTCTCGGTCCCAGCTTTGATGCACCTGTACTGACCTCACCTTCTGGATGATAGCGGGGTGAACAGGCCATGGCTCGGGTGATTGATGTCCTTGATGATCTTTTTGGCCTTCCTGTGACATCAGGTGACTGCACCACCCTCTGGAAATCCCTGCGGTTGCGGGCGGTGCAGTTGCCGTACCAGACAGTGATACAGCCCGACAGGATGCTTTCAATTGTGCATCTGTAAATGTTTGTGAGGGTCTTAGGGGCCAAGCTGAATTTCTTCAGCCTCCTGAATTTCTTCAGCCACATCGTTGCAGGTTGAACATTCTCATGAAATATATATATTTTCTCTCTCTTTAGAATGTAAATAGTGTGCCATTTCAGTCTCCAGTCCCTTTTCCTAAGTACTCCTACATCAGTATTCACTTATATAAAAGTACTACTAGATAGGTGTAGTATTATGTTATTATCTCCTTGTGGTACATCCAACATCCTGCAGTCACATGACCAATTCAACCTCTAATGGCCTCATGGGTGGAATGTTATTAGTATTGTTAATAATTTAATAATTAATAAACATTATTCTTTAAAAACTGCAGAAAATCCAGTTTTGTTATATTTCAGTCTTCTGTGATGTATATAAAGTGTAATATTAGGATGCAAACTCAAACTTAAATACATTTCAACTCTATATCTGACATGGTACAGGTGAGGTGTACACTTTGGTTTCAAAGTAGAAACAAATGTTTATATGTTCTATATATGCCGCCTTAAAACATGTACAATTAAAAGGCAAACATGATGGGTGTGTGTGTGTGTGTGTGTGTGTGAATCTCACACAGAGAAGGGAGGGTCAAAGTCTAGCTTGGGTATTTGGGGAAGCTCTAAAATGTGACATGGCCTATCCATTTCAGTGAAGCTTTACTTAGATTGGGTGTGACTCACACATGATTGACATCTGAGAGCATGGTGATAGGGAGGTGTCAATGAGCTGAGAGGGTGGTCTATAAAAAAAGGGCACTGTGAGTGTAAATATAGGATCCACTTAAGTTCATTATGCGGTCTTAGGCCCATAGTATTGAAATAGAGAGCCACACACCGGATGTTGGTAATGCATGCAGTTTCATAATTTCAATGAATGAACCCTGACTATAGTTGCTGTGGGTTGAGCACACAATCTCACACACTGTAGAAATATGGAATAGTACCTTAAGTGGGAGTGTTAGTTAAAACAACACATATCACTGCACCTATCCAGTGTACATCTTATTTATTTATTTTATTTTACTTGAAAATATGTCATGTGTGGTGTTTATTTGAGGTAGTTCTTGGCAGGGTTGAAGTCCATGACTCCTTTCACTTATGATATTATTGAGTAAACAGTTTGGAGCATGGAACAGAAATCCTTGAGGTGTGTACGTGTGTATGTGTGTGTGTGTGTGTGTGTGTGTGTATGTGTATGTGTATGTGTATGTGTGTGTGTGCATGTTTGTGTGCATGCATGTGTGTGTGTTTGTGTGTGTATCTGTATATATATGTGTGTTTGTGC